AGAGAGGCCTCAGCTGCTGAGCAGCCCCTCGCCAACTCAACCCCTGAGCATCTCCCTCACAGTGTCGATCCCAGACCCCCAGAGTAACAGGAGGGACTTTGGGAGCCCTACTCTCTTGAATACTAGCTATAAAGTTCACTGTACCCCCCACCCAAGAAAGAAAAACAGAAAAAAGAAGTCAGAATGATCACAATTTGTAGTAAAGGAAGATTAAAATCATGTAATAGTTAATATGGAAAATGTTTTGGCATTGTGCACACTGCTACCATGGTGGGATTCTGGAAGCAATGTAAAACCAATTCTACTTTTCTTCTCTTGAAATCTTGTATGGAACTCACTACCCTTGAATTTTATTCACCTATGCTTAAATTAAGGTCTCACTTTGTAGCCCTGCCTGGGTTCCGTAGACCAGGATGGCTTTGAACTCATGAGATCCACCTGGTTCTGCCTCTTGAGTGCTGGGATTGAAGATGTGCACACCCAGCTAATAGATAAGAGATTCTTATAAATAACTTATAGAGGCATTTTTAGTAAATGATATCAAAATTGGTACTGTTTTTTAGAAGTCAAGCTTTAAAAAGTACTGCAGACTTCAAAAGCAACATTTTAAAGCAGGTGTCAGAAATCAGGTGATAGTCCTTTAATAGCCCTAAGAAATTAAGCATGGTCCCTGCACACCTATAGTTAAGATGTTTGTTGAATGCTTTAGTTGAAATGGTTGTGATTATGCTTAAAGTGTGTCTCTCTCAGAGGCACATACTGAAGACAAAGGAAATTATATATAACTGAGATATGATAACATCATTGTGTGTGTGTGTGCCTGTGTCTGTGTATGCATGCCTACACCAAGACTGGCCATTGGAAACTGTGGGGAATGGTGCAATTCTAATAGTATTATATATTCTATGCTATACTATATAATCTCTTAATACTAATCCCACTGCTGTTCAAACTTTATCCTTTTAAAAAGACAAATTACGTATAGTAGTTTCTATGTAATCAATATTCAAAAGACCTAAAATATCCTTTGGGTTAAAATTTGTTTTAACCTTTGTATAACTTTCAATCATTAGACTGACAAATACTTTACAAATTCTTATAAATTTTACTAGAATTAATACCAAATGGATACCATTTTAATTCTATCAGTTAGTTTAGCAACATAATAAATTTCAACTAGTACTTAACAGATTCAAAAGAATACATTTAATTCTCACTACTTACTGTGAAAATTGATGTAGAAGAAAACATACCTGTGGACTGTGAAGGTCTGTAGTCAACATGATAATTGAGTAGGCCAAAACATAAGCAGTATCTGCACTAGCAAAAAGGGTTTGTCTGAAAAAAATAAATGTATCACATTATAAGCTTTGTTTCATATAAACAAGTCATTTCAAACACCATTTTTAATATTCTCCCTCAGGACTAATGTTCTATCATGTATTACAATTATAGATGAATCTGTATTAACACTGCCAAACAGCAGACAATATAAACTGTCTTAAGGAAGGGGTTTGGCTACCATGGATATAACTGACCATCAATAAGTATACAAATCTTATTTACCCTTGGTTGCATTCTAAGTATCTTGCAGCAAATTTTTCCATTAATCGATCAATTTTTTGAGCTTCCCCTGGAAGACGAAATCCTTCCAGAAATAGACGAAGGGCTGAAACAAAGTCTTTTCCTGAAAAGTCATGTTGGTCCACATATGCATACATAACTTCTTTATTGAATTTATCATTATCTCCCAGGAACTCACCCACCTGAGTCTAATGTAAAAACAAAGGATAGAAATATGTTCAACGGCATGTTTGTTCAATTTTTCAAATAACCATTTACAAAGCAGAGAATCCTAAGAACCACAAGTTTTGACTACCTGGTTACACAAGCTCTAGACTGAAGCTACAAGTGAACTGTTTTAATATGCATATCAATTGCAGAAAGGGTTGGAATGAAATGAAATGGTATTCTTACAGAGTCTAGTCTTTCTTCTTGATGTAAGAACTGAGCTATGTCTTCAGGTGTGGTGCCAAGCATCCCTTGTTCTTGGAGGTACTGTATTCCTCTCTTTGGTTTCTTATTAAATCTAGATGAATAGAAAGATTAAAAAGAGAAAACTACTCATACTCCCTGAGAAGATTTTGAAATGCAGTAAATTATTTTCTTAACTGCATATAGAAAACAGTTACTAACACACATGTATACAGAATCATTACATGCACAAGGTTTACTTTTTTTTCTTCTTAGGAAAGAGTTTTAAATGGAGTGTATCATTAACACAGATACAGCTCACTTCTTGGGCATTTTGCTGCATATGCTATGCTTTCTGATTCCTATTAACAATGGTCAATGAGGATTAATGACAATGCTGTAAAGTGGATAGTTTAAGAAAGGATGTGAGCACTGAATAGTACTTTCAGCACAGTTACCTCAACAGATTAGACTAGCACATAAAGCTTTTCTCAGTAGAGTTCCAATTTACTCCTTTCTCATATCTATTCATATAAATCTTACCAAACTCCCCAAACATAATGTGTTCAGAGTCTATTCTGAATGCCTTTTGCAGCCTCTTCTCATAGGGGACCACTCCCTCATGCTTTAAGCACCAACACAAAAGTTAGATTTAAAAACCATCTACTTCCTACTTTTATTCCAGTGATATCACCAGTGACCTAGACTACTGAGACAGTTCTTAAATGGTCTCCATATCTCATTTTGCCCATATTCTAACCCATCTTTCAGGATGCTAGCTAGCAAAACAATCTTTCTAGATATGTGATAATGCTGAATCTCTGCTTAAAACACCCCATGGCATACAGTGCCATGAAACAAGACAAATACTCCCTTGCATGGAGCAAGCAGCCTTCTGTAGACCCAACTCTGTGTTCTCATCTAATATACTGCCATGCTAAGTGTGACTGCCCTGAAACATACCATTCTTTTTGTCTGTAATGTTCTTCTCTGTTATGTCCTAATGATTCGTGTTAAACTATCATTCAATTGTAGCCACAAACATTAACTAAAACATTAACTGATCAATGCAGTCATGAGAGGAAATGAATATATTCCTAGAATTAAAAGAAATTGAAAGCATGACTAACCATGATTTTTAAGATAGAACAAAAGCAATTCTGAAAGGCAATTTAAGGTATGAATTCTTATGCTTAAAAAGCAGAATGCTGGGGGACATAGCTTAGTGGTAGAGTACTTGACCAACTTGAGGTTCCTGGTTCAATCCCAGTAGCAGGAAAAACAAAACAAACACAAACAAAAAACACAGGAAAAAAAAATCACTACAACCAATGAACTAAGAGTATATAGTCAATACCTGGGCCTGCAAGATGCTTAGCAGGTAAAGGTATTTGCAGCCAAGCCTGTTGAACTGAGTTGCTATCGGGGCCCACATGGTCCAGGGAAAGAACTGACATCTGCAAAATGTCCTAACTTCCACACACATTTTGGCATACATGACCCCACACACGTATACAAAAGAGACAAATAAAAAACCCAAACAATTAGAGAGACTGGATTTAAGACCTGCTTCACAGGAGGAAATCCATGCCTGGTACTATAAACCTTGTCAAAAACCCACATTGGATAACCCATAGATCCTAAGGGTGCATGCCTTTTAATCCCAGCACTTAGGAGGCACACGTTGTGTGTGAGTGAGTCCAGCCAGGCAGCCAAGTCTATATAATGAGTTCTAGACCAGCTAGGATTACATAGTAAGACCCTGTTTAAAAAAAGGAGAAAAGAAACCAAATAGTTGGTTCAGTGAAAAGATGAGCAAGATGTACAATTAGCCAAAACAAAAGAGAACATTTAAATTAATAAGAGGATATGAGGATAGGCAATGTTGCCAGTTCCAAACGAAGTCCAAAAGATAATTAGGGAACACTCAGGAAATTTAAATTTTAAAATACAAGGAAGCTAGAAAACATAGATAAATCCTAGCACCTATGGACCTAGCAATTTAAATTAAAAGGATATAAACAGAGCTGGAGAAATGACTCAGTGGGTAAAGGCACCAACCCTGAAGATCTAAATTAGATCCCTACAACCCCTATGGTATTAGAACTGACTTCCCCCCTGGCCATTTGACTTTCACCCACCCATACATGCATGCCTGTGTGTTCACACATACAAAGGCAAGCACCCTATTCACAATGGCTTAAAAAAAAGATACTTGAGAATAAGCCTAACCAAGGTGAAAGACCTCTACAATGAAACTTCAAACAGTGAGGAAAAAAACCTGAAGATGATACCAGAAGATAAAATCTTCCTTATGGAAAGGCAACACAATCCCCACTAAAATTACAATGACATTCTTTACTGACCTAAGGGGAGAAACTTGAAATCATGGAAACTCAGGAGCTGAAGAGATGGCTCAGTGGTTAGAAGCACTTGCTTCCCCCCTCACCAGCCCCCTGCTTCTTTTATATTTATAGAAACATATTAAAATATGAACTATAACAAGTTTATAGGAAAGCAAATCTTTAAGCCAACATTTTAACAGACCCTTCAAATGAAAATTATTTTTTATTAAACTGTATAAACAAATAATAAGAGCTGTTATGAAAAAAAGTGATTGATTTACAATTTGTAAATACTTTGTTACTCTTGTAGAGGATCCAGGTTCAGTTTCCAACAACCACATGAAAGATTACAGAAGCAAAAGCATACACAAACACATAGAAATAAATGCAACAAAAATTAGAAAAGTCAAAAAACATGTCCCCTCTTGTGTATGTTTCCTTTGAGACTGTAACAGTCTAATCCTGCAGGGAAATGCCTTAAGCAGAAA